ACCCTTTGACAATCTCCAAACAAAACCTACCAATAACAGGACAACCAAACACAATAACAGACAACAACAGAAACTGCTAACAACAAAGACAACAACACTACCAAAAGTAAAATAACAAATTATTCATAACTTACGGGTCAATATTAACTTGGACGTAAGTGAACTAGACAATATTTATAATTTATTAAATTACTCGACTACTTTAATTTTTTGATATGGATAGTTTATGCAAAAACAAACTCATTTTAATTAATGAAACAATATAAGTTTTATTACTATACTTATTATTCAAATAGATTTTCAAATATATGACAAAAGTTTACCAAAATAATTGTTCTATGGTATCACACTGTAGTCAAATCGATTTTTTGAATAAAACTTTTAAAAATTACACTTTTTTTTTTGGTACAGGGACATTCCGGTTTCCGAATTCACAGGGGAACCGACTAATCCAGAATCGAGCCGGGTAGGATCACAAGGGCGGCAAAGTTCTCCCTCAAGAGTTTTTAACACTGCTGCATTCCCAGGGCTCGAACACGAGACCACTGGTTAAGCTGGAAGAGACCCAAACCATCTCATCCAAGCGCTCTTGGGTAAAATTACACTTATTTTGAAATGAATACAATATAATTTATTATCAGTTATGTGAACTGTAAGATTTTTGTATTAATTTTAAGTAGACACGTTTTATGTAATTTTACACAATTAAGATTTAATATAACATTTTCAATAAATTAACATAGGTAAATTATTTACATATTGATTTCATATTTTTTATTTATAAAAATTATTTAATAAATATTTTTAATATAAAAACTAATGAATATCTCTTACCTGTGCATTGCACGAGATTCGTACTAGTTTATCTTTAAAAAGGTTGCAAAAATAATAATAATAAACACAAAAATGAAGGACTTTAAGGTATTTTGAAAACTCAAAGTCAAGAACATATCTTTTTGCCGTGCCGTGATTCCCTACGACCTTGATAATACAAAGTTATCATAATGCGAACAATGATCACGTTCGTCATTAATTCGTAGACTCATTCTATCTATATTATAGTAATATTTTATAACTTATATCATAATAATAGACTAATATTGATAAATAAAGATAGATATAATTATATTTCAATTTAATTATTGAATTTCAAATTGAAAATCGTGAAAAAATGATTAATATAATTTTTAAACTTTGAATTTATATATAGTGAGGGGTAATTGGCTGCAGAACTTCTAATCCACCTATTTTTTTTTTTTTTTTAATTTCATCAATTGGCGCTAATATTACTTCTGGTTACAAATTCTACAATTAAATTTTTTTTAACTAATAAAATTATATATTTTCTAACAAAAAATTAAAATTTAAGATGATAGAAAAGAATATCAAATTAGGAAATATCAATCGAATTGCATCATTCTGAATGAATTAAAACATATAAATTTGATAGATAAATTGATAATAAATTAATAATGTCTAAAATAAGCAACGACGATTTTTCCTTTTTTTTTTTTTTTTTTTTTTTTTTTTTTTTTAAGAGTAAAGAGCTAGGCAGCTTCAATTCATTTCAACTCAAAATTCAACTGTGTTCAAAACAACATTCAAATGTGGATATCACATATATATAATATTCACATAAATATGCGTCATTTCCCAAACACATGACACAATATTTAATCATCGTCTTAATTTACATATGCACTTCATACCGACATAGTTTTTGTATATTCTCATGTATTTTATTATTATAAAATATAAATGCATGCACGTATACATATTTTGGATTTTAGTAATTATTGGTAATTTTAATTTTTAACCAATAATTTATGTAAGCGCGCGTGCAAGTAAAATTGGCTATAATGACGGGTCAAATTTTGTTTGAAAGTGACGGTGCATGTGGTAGGTGACAATTGACACCGGCTAGAGTAATAAAGTCATGAAGGTAGAGGTTGAGAGATCGATTCCTATTACCGTGGGAAGTGGGGATGGGGCACCCTGCATCTCCTGGGTGGATTAGTCCCGCTTCTTTGGGGCGTGGATCCCATAACCTGTTAGGCACTTAGGCCCGCACCCCGAGGGGGGCTAGGAGTCGACAAAAAAAAAACAAAAAACAAACAAACAAACACTAACATACATAATCAAAGCACGTGTTATAATAATTAGCATGAACTATTTTTACATTGAACTTCAATTATTAGTTCTTTAAATATCACCAAACTATAGCAAAAATTTATGTTTTACATTAAATTAATCACACTTTAAATATTGATTATCTATTTCATTTTATCCATGATGTTCAGTAGCATATGACGACATACCAATTAACCTATCTTCGTGTGTTTTTTTTCCTGAAAATCGAGCAGCTAGAAAGTCTCTTACTGTTCGTCAAGTACAAAAATCTCATGCTCAAACAAGTCATATAATCTATTGTAGTCACCTAATCTTCTTCGCAGAATGTGTATTCAATGTTTTCGGCTTGGTAAGTCATATAATCTATTGTAGTAAGAAAACTAGTCGAAAACGGTTCTCAATTGTAGTCGGGTTTTCAATTCATTTTCCGACGAAAATTCCATCAATGCTAAGTTAATGGAATGTGGGCATATATTTATTTACAGACATTGAAGTTTGTATACTGATATTACTAAATCATTCTTTAAAATATTCTCTCAATTTTTTGCATGACGTTAAGTTAATTGCATGGAAATATGGTATGAGAGTCGGGAACTAACGGTTAATTGGGCCTACTGTTCTAGTTGTTTGGGTTTCCGATTAATTGGGCCTAGTAGTTTGAGTTTCCGATTAATTTTAGGAAGAAAAATCTTAAATAATAATAGCATGAAAATGGTACGAAAATCGGAAAACTAGGCCAAGTGAATAATGCACCTTTACAGTATGTTATATGTTAATTTTTGACCGACCCATTTGTAAGTGGTCCAATGGGGTTTACGAGCGAAGGAACTAATCAACAGCTGGTATTTCTTTAGCAATAAAACATGCTATAGCTTCAGGGACGATCGATTTAGTAGGGGCCATGGAAAATACCCCTTTATCAAAGTCACTACGTAATTTTATTGCATTAGAAAAATGATTATCTTATGGACCCTCTCTGTTCGGAAGATTGTTTTTTAAAAAGAGTTATGTTAATATTTATTCTATTTTGTTCGTAATGGAAGAATTCTGTTCGTATGAACAAAGAGAAGCAGATTTATTCTATACTCTATAAGTACCAATATGCAATGGGGGATTGATATCCTTTTCTATGAGTCAATGTGAAAACTTGTTGGAATTGATCAAACTTTTGCGATTCAAAGTGTATCACGCAGGAATGAATTGTCTAGAAGATTCTTTGCTAGAAAGAAATAAAAAATGGTATGTTGCTGCCCTTTTGAAAGGATTAAGAAGCACCGAAGTAATGTCTAAACCCAATGATTTCAAATTCTGAATTCAAATTCAAACCTAACCTGTACTGACTGCTAGCTATAAAAGTAACTAACTAAAGAGGAATGGACTATCCACAAGAAGAATGATTCACCCATCTTCAAGAACCTATATGATATCCGGAACCTAATGGTAGAAAAGTTGGGTAGCACGCAATCCGCCGAGGCCACACTTAGCCTTTGGGACTCCAAATCTCAATCAAAAGGGC